TAATTCTTAACAAGGTTTTCTTTAAATAAGGGGATCCGTAATTGGACTGACATGTAGGCAAATCACGTTGTCTTTGCTGCAATAGAAGTTGGGAATACTTCAGAGACATCACACTCTAAGAATTTGAAACGACTATGTCTTAAATTCTAGTTGTCGTGTAGGTGTAATCACGATGCCTTAGGCATTCTCTTTTGTTCATCTTAAGTTTCCTGCATTCTCTTGCCCATTCTCATTTTATCACTTTCTTAATCAAACTTAAAAAACAGTTTCTTTGTGATCAACCTGGTATTTTGTCAGCAGTTTATTACTATGAAGCTGTTCCGTTCGTCTTAATCTTATTACTTATTCCTTAATCTTATTTTATTCAGATCAGATCAGATCAGATCAGAAAGATTCAGATCAGATCAGATCAGAAAGATTCAGATCAGATCAGATCAGATCAGAAACATTCAGATCAGATCAGAAAGATTCAGATCAGATCAGCAACATTCAGATCAGATCAGAAAGATTCAGACCAGATCAGACCAGATCAGAAACATTCAGATCAGATCAGAAACATTCAGATCAGATCAGATCAGATCAAAAAATTTAAACATGATTTACCACTTTTATTATTATATTAATTATGATTATTATATTATAGTTATTGTTAATAATATTAATATATTAATATAATAATATTATTAATAATAATATAATAATAATGTTAATAATATAAAATTATTATTATATTATAATAATATAATATAATATAATATAATATAATATAATATAATATAATATAATATAATATAATATAATATAATATAATATAATATAATATAATATAATATAATATAATATAATATAATATAATATAATATAATATAATATAATATAATATAATATAATATAATATAATATAATATAATATAATATAATATAATATAATATAATATAATATAATATAATATAATATAATATAATATAATATAATATAATATAATATAATATAATATAATATAATATAATATAATATAATATAATATAATATAATATAATATAATATAATATAATATAATATAATATAATATAATATAATATAATATAATATAATATAATATAATATAATATAATATAATATAATATAATATAATATAATATAATATAATTATAATTATAATTATGATTTACAATGTCATTATAATTATAATCATCATTATTATTAATATGATTGTTGTTCTTGTTGTTATTTTTGTAATTATTATTACTTCGGAGTAATTATATATTTAAATTAGTAATTATAGATATAATTATGATTATAGAGATAAATATTATAATTATAATTACAAAAAAAATAATTATAAAATTAATCATAATTAAAAATATAATTACATTTATAATTGTATCTGTATTTATAATTAGTGTAATTGGTATAATTATTATAATTTTAAATTTAATTTTAATTATTATTTTTTTATAATTATGATTATAATTGTAATTTTATTTAAGTTATATTTTTAATTACAATTATAAATCTAATAATTATAATTATAATTACAATTATAGAAATATTCAAATCAGATAAAAAAGATTCAGATCAGAAGAATTCAGATCAGATCAGAAACATTCAGATCAGATCAGAAACATTCAGATCAGATCAGATCAGATCAGCAACATTCAGATCAGTTCAGCAACGTTCAGATCAGATCAGAAAGATTCAGATCAGATCAGAAAGATTCAGATCAGATCAGATCAGATCAGAAAAATTCAGATCAGATCAGATCAGATCAGAAAAATTCAGATCAGATCAGATCAGAACTTAAAAAATTCAGATCAGAAACATTCAGATCAGGTGAACGGAACAGCTTCTATATCAGCACTTCTACACTTGCAAATTTAGCCCGATCACGTTGTTTCTGCTACCACCTTGTGTGTTTGGATGTGTTTGTTTTGTTTATGAAACAACACCTTGGGTATTCACGGCTTCAAAAGGGATATTGCTGTTTCAAGAACAGCATAATCGATAAGAGTATTTTATTCTATTTCTCTGCTGCTACTGCAGGCATTTTATCACTTTCTTAATCAAACTTACAAAAACAGTTTCTTTGTGATCAACCTGGTATTTTGTCAGCAGTTTAATACTATATCAGCACTTCTACACTTGCAAATTTAGCCCAATCACATTGTTTCTGGTACCACCTTGTGTGTTTGGATGTGTTTGTTTTGTTTATGAAACAACACCTTGGGTATTCATGGCTTCAAAAGGGATATTGCTGTTTCAAGAACAGCATAATCGATAAGAGTATTTGATTCTATTTCTCTGCTGCTACTGCAGGCATTAGGTATTAATCTGTCGTGGAGGCTGCACAAAGCATCCGATGGTCAAAGGAGGAGGGTACAAATTTGTATGGGTCTTCTGAAACCATTTACGGTAGATCAACCCTAACATTTGGCACAAATTTTTATCTGTTAAATACATACAGTTTGTTTTTTAAAACTTTTAATTAGTGGCACTTTCTTGAACTCAACTACTGACAAAATATCAAATCTTTTAGGTGCTCCTCCTTGATGAGATCACTGTTGACCTAGATGTACTTGCAAGGGCTGACCTTTTGAAATTTCTGAAGAAAGAATGTGAAGAACGAGGTGCTACAATTATTTACGCCACACACATCTTTGATGGTCTTGAGGACTGGCCTTCTCATATTGTAAGAAGAGACATGTATTGGCATAGTTCTTATGTATTTGTCTATTTGGATCTTGTTGTTGAAACAAACCTAGCTTATAGTTCACTTTATTTTAGGTTTATGTAGCTAATGGAAAATTGCAACTAGCTACCCCAATGAGCAAGGTTAAGGAGATGAGCAACATTTCACTAATGGTATGTCTAGCTTCTTAGAACCCATATTTGTTATCCTCTGGCATTTATGGTAGGTATGGGGTAAAATTTAAACTATCAGTTACTCAGTATAAAGGACCTCCTTGAACTGCCAAAGTGTCTCTTATGACCATTTTGCTACATATATGGCAAGAGGAATTGTACAAAACATATAATGTATTTAAGCCAGGAATCCATAACTGTTAGTGATTCATAAATTTTTCACAACCACACTCATATTGGTATATGTAATTTCTTTATGTAATCCTTTAGTTTTTTGCATTTCTCAAATGCCATCTATTGTGCATGCTTTGTAAATTAATCTCGAGGTATGCTAAAATGTCCTTCGAAATTTTTAAAGCTAATCCTAGTAATTTTAGTAAGTAATTTTGTACGATTTTCAAGGCAATATTTGTTTCTTTAGTAAATACCAAAAACCAAAGGGTATACATGTTTTCTCTACCCATAGCTATGAATATCTTTCTTTCTATACTATTCTTCTGGATTTCAATTAATGGTACTGTCACCAATTGGATGTGCAGAGAACAGTAGAAAGTTGGTTGAGGAAAGAAAGGGATGAGGAAAGGAAACGGAGGAAAGAGAGGAAGGAAAAAGGGCTTGCGCCATTCGATAAACAGATTGATGGAACTCGTGTGGTAGGAGACCCGGCTCGCTCATTAAACAATGGTTGGGCTGGTGGAAGGCTACATTCTACCCTTGCTGGTGAAGAAAATTTTGTGTATAGCTCAAACAGGGTTTTGAGGTAGTAAAGAGATTGGTATCCAATCATGTTTTTGTCACTTTTAGATCTCGACTATTTGACATTTTTTATACTTGACTTTCAAAGTTTCCACTTTAAGTCCTTTGGATATAGTGATAGAGACACTTTTGTGTTTCAACTATTGAGAAAGTGTCACTTTTGGTCATTCAAATTAGCGAATTTTTAGTCCTCCATTTATTGTGGCGAAGTCATAGTGGAAGGATTAAAAGTATCACTTTTATAAAACTTGATCGACTACATATGAATTTTTTTAAAGTTGGGTACCAAAAGTTTATCTATCACTTGGTAATTCTATGTCGAGTACTAAAAGTGACATAAAATAGTCAGAGATAGTGGGAGGATGAAAAGTGTCACAAACTCATTTATAATAATTCTGCTATGTTTCTCTTAATTAATACTAACTCCGGTTTTTTTTAATCTTCACAGTTTGACTTCACACAAAATAAGGAAAGAAATTTGACTTTACTGTAGAGTACACTGTGAGGCACTGTTTGACACTGTTTTGATGTAGATTTCTTTGCCAAAAAAGGAAATAAGGAAGTGTGAAGTTTATTTTAGACCGTCCCAAAAAGGAAAGTGTGAAGTTTATTAAAAACCGGAGGGAGTACTACGTATATTATTGTACATTGCTCTATTAATATCTATTGAATATTAAGATTTCCGACAAAGAAGAGTGGATAATAAAGGTGGTAAGAATAAATTCATCTCGTTTCAATTGGGAAATGTAATTGCTAGACTATCTGGTTCATTAAATGATGTCTAATAAAAGACTATGGGTTTTGACTTTTGTGTGACTTGTGAAAACGCAGGAAATGCTCAGATTATTTGGTTTTAATTATCGGCGATTCAAAATGTAAACCATAATATCTAAAGTGAAGCAATGAGATCCGGAAATGGACTCTTCTTTTTTAATTGACAATATTTTTATTCCAATGAATCAATTTCACCTAAAAAGATTGGCTTTGAATAAATAAATATTTGTACAACACCGATTTTAATTTCACCTCAAAGTCTGAAGTAAACTACCTGAGTAATCATTTAAATATAGTCAGACACTCAGACCTGACTTGAAATATAAAATGAGCATTAGCCACATGTTAAAATAGGAATGTGTGATAGAATAAGAAACAGCCAAGGCCAGCATAGTCCATACTCCATAGATCCAGATATAATATAGATTATAGACTATGCAACCGCTGAGCTTTGGGATCGAAACCTAGCAGATAAGGGGCTTTCGGAACCTCACTGCGTGGGTGGTTTTCTAGCAGTGCCAAGGGCCATCTGTGACCAATTCCTGGAAATGATACCAAGTTTTCAGAAGCTCTCACCAATTCTTGAGATTCTTATACAATTTGATGCCATTTGATTAGTAGCTTTGAGCATCCATTTGATTGGGCCCGTTATACATAAAAATGTACATGTAAAGCACTATGAAGGACATAACGATGTGATTTAAATTCTCTAACATAGAAAGAATAAGCTAGAATACTTTTCTAAAGAAAGAAAATATTTCTAAACATGGTAAGAAATATACAATGGTGCAAGGTAATAGATATAGTAAGCTTCTACATTTTCTTAGCAATTATAGCCATATTCCTTGGAGACAGCACTGGGTCAAAAAGAGGAAACAGGCCAACTTGCATGCATTTACCACTCTCCTGGAGGAACAATAACCGATCAAGCAAAATAATAGTTTCCAAAACAGGCCCTAGAGCCGCACGAAGAGACCAATAAGGCCCTATCATCCCCTGCATTAAGAATCGGCTCATTATTATGTTCATAGGTTTGAACAGTACTATACATATAATAAAGGTGCCATCGGCAGGCGTCCTGACGTCTTGTCGCCGAAGAGACAAAAAAGTCTTATTTCCCATACAGTATATTTATAATTGATGAAATGGATCCCTGATATGAAAAATCCATAATGCTAGGTCCAAGGCGATTAGGCGACTGGCCACATCTACCTCATTAGAAACCCACTAGTGATCTGATAAACTAAATATTTTGTAAAGATAAAAGCACTTACAGCGAAAGGTTGTGTCTCCTTCCATATGTCAAGATAATCTATTTCCTGTGACTGGAGGCTAAGGCGGGCAAGCCCAGATTCACAGAATTTTATGAATAATGAAAAACTATCCATTGAATTGGCAGTTCCTGTTCGGGAACTCAGAGCGGAAGATGTTTTATTAAAGAAGGCACCATCATCATCACAGGCTAAACCTTCAACACCTAAAGGATAATATTGTATAAATATGAGAATGGTTGTCATATTTCAGATTTTCAGTAAATAAAATTTTCAAGTTAGTGGGACTTTTCAGATGTGTCAGCACCATAAAAAAGTAAGTAGCGTGACTATTCTAACACATCAAGTTAGTACCCAACTTCTCATTTGTAAATGCAATCCTTTAAATTAGCGGTGGCAGTTGCAGTTCTTACAATATATGTGGGGTGGTCTGGTCAAGCACAAAAACAAAACCATTTGCAACCATGACAACTTCTCATAAAACACCCACACCCACACACATATATAGAGAGAGAGACATGCTCCAAGACCTGGGCCATCGGGCACCTTAGCATACTCACCAAGCATACCCAACACTTTATTCAAAATACCAAAATACCACTTATCAAGCACTCACCCCCTTAGCATACCCCACGATGAGCCTTCATTCATCCACATTACAATTTAAAATAACTTGATACCCATCCCTCAAGGGTACTTTGCAATTTTATAGGGGTGGTAAGTCTTGTAAGGTACCGAATGGGTGGGTTTTGGAACAGTTCTCTATATATGCCTGTTGTGTGTGTTTACAATAACATTGCTAGTGAATCAGTTTACCCTTCTTGACATCACATCTACAGCCAAGGCCAGACATGGAGCACTTATTCTCATCATAACTTATGTTCTGTGAGGAGCATCCACTATATTGTTTGGGACATTGACACTGGAAATTAGACCTCAGGGTTCTGTTACAATGTTGGCGGCGTAGTGTTTTTCCTTGACGCCCTATTGCAGGACTTTTTGTCAATACATCTGAATAATATCGCAATAGAATCTGCAAATCAGTCAACCCAGTTTTAGATAACGGCTCCTGAAAACCCTTGTAAAAGGAAGAAAGCAAGAACCATGGCACTTCAAATTTGACATGACTGAAACCCAAAGACAAGCCAGCAAAACTGCAAGTACCATCTGGAAGGCAGCACGAAATGCATGCAATTCAAAGTTGTCTAGTCCAGCAGCTTGATCTAAGCCTCTCCATCTATCTGCACTCTGTAAACCAAGATAGGACAATATCACGATAAGCATGGAAGCAAGGTTAGTCTAACATTTTTGTATCACAACTCTGGATTCATGTGTGTGTCAGTGTGTGTGTGTCTATATATTGTGAAAATTAAAAACGAAAAAATATGCATATACCTGGCAAGCAAGATCGCGGGCACTTTTTCCAAGACATAAGCCAAAAGTTCTAGCACTTTCACTAACTGGAAAACCAGAGGGAGGACCATCCATGCTAGAAGCTTCTTCAGTGAGCATGTTATAACAGCATCCAACACTGATCACTGCTTTTATTTCATCGCAATCCAAGAATGTCCTACTCAGATCCAAATTTAGTCAAAATGCAAACACAAGTTACAGGTAGTCTTTCTATGTCAAAATGAAGTTGGCCACAATAACCCTTGAACAGTTCCAGAAGATTAAGCTCATATCACAGACAGAAAGCTGACCAGAGAAAAAAGCGAGTGTTTAGTATTAGTAAGAATGCAAAGCAGTTGTTGTCCACTTATTCATTCAGTCTTTCATGACCTTTGTGGTATCCTTGATAGATGGGTCTTCATTTGATTATCATGGATATTCAGATTATTCTGAGACATTAAACAAGGCAGTATCATGCATCCAATCACCTCAACATAGTCACAGAAAGATCTCCACAGGCATGAAGTCCAGCTAGAATCAATGATGAATCCCCAATCATGCAGGAATGAGGACTTAAATGTTCCTCAACTGGACTGTGTCCAATAGAACTTTCTCTTAAAAGGCAATGTTTTTCAACACCATAACTCAAGGCCTTTAATGTCTCAGAGGACAATATTTGACAGGTCACTGTCTTTGGCACACACCACTTTCTGCCATCTAATCTGGAAAAAAAAATGAAAGTGGCAACAAATGCTCATGATTACAATGCCAGCAACTATATGCAAACTGAATTAATTATAGAGTAAGAATACATCTAAATCATTTCATACGACATAGTTTTTTAAAGTTAATAACTTCAGATAAACTTTCAAGTTTAAGCCATATACCCAGATTTGCGCATCTTTGAGGCATAGTGCTTCCTAATTCTCTCAGCACGTGCTCTAGTAATCTTTCCATGATGCGAAGAGGCATCAATCGCCACAACAGAAAGGTCATGTTCAAATGAAAGCACTTGTGCAAGATGACCCTAAAAGAACGCAGGAGAAAATGAGACCCTAAAAACATAAGTGGGAAAGGCCCAAGTCAAATTGTTTCTGTCTATCTTAATAATGCAACAATAATACTTATTTAAAGAAGTTGAGATGTGTAATAAAATTCATTATTTCATTAAAATTATTGTCCTAATTGGTAGTGCTAACCCGAGGAGCATCTATACCTAGTACAGTAAAAAAGAAGGCTAAATTGGGTGAAAATATGGGGATACAAATCTTGCCATTAGCAACCAATCAGAGTAGGAGAACCACCTGACCAGATCCAACATCAACTATTGTTTTTGTTTCAACATCTTTGGCAATCACACCCACCACTGCAGCAAGTACTTCCACCTGCTTATGCAATGACACCTGGTTACCCCTTACAATAGTAGAATTTTGAGATGAAAAACGATTTAAGAAATATGTATCTTCTATGAATAAAGCACATAGCTCCAATTATATTTTGGTGGTGATTTTTATGATGTTAAAGCTTTCAGAAGAACTCATGCTTTATACAACTTGAAAAGACTTGTCTGAATGCCATGGTCTGATCCGGGGCATGCTATTATAAAAACTCAGCACATAAGCAAAATATATTCATGTAAGAAAGGAACACTATGTTACTTTACATATTAGAATGCAAGTCTGCCTATAAAGTAAAATGCAAACAGATAGTTGTGCCAAATTCTGCCATCAGTTGTTAAATAGCATGTTAGCATACAACAATGGTCAGGCAATTCCAATGTCATCCAGACATGCATATCTAGCAAAAAATAAGTAAATAACAGAAGTTAAAATATAAATAATAAGGGGAAATTTCCCATGTCCTACTTCGTGTTTTTTCTTAAGGTTCATGCCTTGAGCAAGAACAGTACTCAGTGAGGCCATTTGCAACAGTGGGAATTCCTGTAAGCAAACATAAAGATCAGTGTAACTCACTTAGAGCGTAATGAGATGTTATAGTTAAGGAAAAGTAACATGGTAGAAGTTTATTATATCGTGCTCAGATAATAATGTGGATTGTACTTCTACAGGCCCCAGATTGATTAAGGTTGAAAAGGGGGAAATACGTAGTAAAATACCTCCTGCAAATTTGCCTGTTTTCTGGGAAGAGAAAGAGACCTCAGAGTGATGATAAATTCTTTGAGTGAAGCAGGCCAGTGGTCCTGGGAGATAGCAACGGAAAGTCAGAAAGAAGATTATAAAATCTGAACCCTGTCTCGTAGAGTATATATAAACTGAAGAGTTGAAAGATATAATCACATACGTAGTAAAACATAACCCAAGTTTATTCCCACAGGCAAATATGGAGCTACGAAATTTACATCACATAGTTTCCACCAAAACAGGCAACATTGATCCCAGGACGCATTCTATAATCGCATACGGCATACTTTACCTTTCAAAATATCATGCCCACATGTAATTTATGCCTAGAAAATTTACTAGCACCAATAAAAATCCAAAAATGCATTATCCACTAACCATAGCAGCATATATCTGAAACTTGAACGTAATAAACTTAATAACAAAAAAAATCAAGTTTCTAATGTCATGCGATATTATGTTACAGGCGTTCGCTCCTATCATATGACAGGTGCGTTTTTAGACTGTTTTTTGGGAAACATAATACATGTACTACTGATAAGATTAAATTTATACTTTTACAGTGCCTTAACAAAAAGCTAACGTCTTCATTTCTCTAAGAACTCCAATTGTGGGAACACCAGAAACTTATTACAATATTACTTGATGAATGCTGATACCCATAGCATTACCTAGAAAATATATTTCTTAGGTGATACGAACTTAGAATCACGTCAAGTAAAAATGAAAGAGACTAGCAAATTCTACTCAGTATACAGTAAATCTTAACCTGTACAACACCAGAAGGAATTTGGATAAGATTTTCCACAAGTTCATCTTGTAAACAATCCATCCACTCTTTATTGACAGCTTCCCATAGTCTGTCCTGTAAATTTTAAAAGCAATCGCATAAATTCCGTATACATATTTGTGTTACTGAGTAAGTATTTGTGCCAGAAGGAAACCTTGAAGAAATTGTTGACATGCGCATCAAAGAAGAACCGATAAGGCTTAATGAAATCCATTATTGCTCGAATCCATTGAAAAGTTTCACTCGGAGTTTTGCACGAGTACTTGCAATAGCTAGCCATGTCCGTCGCTTAGGGCGTTCCCGGCCTCCTGTTTGATTTTTTCTGAAAAATTCAATAAAATGTATAATATCAGTATAGCACGTATTGTTACCTATTTTATTTTATTAAAAAAAAACACTGAAGCCTAATGGAGGGTACAAGTGAAATGAAATGTCTAGTTGCTCAATATTATTTAAATTGTTTAAAAAATTATTATGTCTTATACGTTCGTTAATTATTTAACGGTCATCAGATTTAATAAATTAGCTTCTTCAAGTCATAATTGGTTTTGATATTACTATTGGAATATTGTGTTACTCTTGTTCGTCACTCATACCAAGACTCCAAAAAGAAGAGAATATTACAACGGCTTACCAAATTTACGGCTAAAGAGATATAAACTATTTCTAGAAATATCTCTCTACTTCTACACAAATAGGCAACATCATTTCTATTACTTATCGTACCTATGAATTCAAATTCGTATATCTGAAAAAATAATTCAAATTCGTACATTTTAAACTGTTGAAGAATGTGGTCCATATGCTAAATTACTCTTTATTCTCATCATTAAATTAGTATTTAAGACATGTTTTTTTATTGAAAACTTTAAGACATGTATTGTATGTCGTATTTTTAAATTGTGACACGTTTAAAATCGTTCTTTTTTTCATTTCACAAACATACGAAACATATATTTAGTCGTATTTTATATAATTGTATTATACATGAACGTACGTATTATTGTATTATTCACGAACTGAAAATTTAATTTGAATGTTTGGATTGTTGGAGTTCTTTTGTATTATTGTTTCTGTTTTAATCCGAATAGATTTAGAAGCTGTTATGTTCGTCTTAATCTTATTACTTATTACTTATTCTTATTTTATTCAGATTGGATCAGATCAGAAAAATTCAGATCAGATCAGATCAGTCCGGAAGTGTCGTTTGAGGTGGCTCCCGGTGGAATTTTTTGATGAAATTTTTTGAGCATCTTATTCATTAAGTCTAGTTTATTCATATCAAATTTCAGATAAAAATTCAATCGGGAAGACATTGAAATGAATTCTTGAAGATAATTGTGCCGTTAAAAGCGTAGTTATCTTCAAGAATTCATTTGAATGTCTCCCCGATTGAATGTTTAGCTGAAATTTGGTATGAGTAAACTAGACTTAATGAATAAGATGTTCAAAAAAAATTATCAAAAAATTCCACCGGGAGCCACCTCAAATGGCACGTCCGGACATAATCTTCTGTATAAGGACTTATTTGACACCTTTTTTACAAGTTCGACTACCAAACTCACCTTTTACTCTATTTTATTATAAATCTTTTCAGTTTGAGAGTATGTATCATTTGAGTATTTGACATAACCGTTTTTCATTAATTTTAAAAGTTACGTAAGATGTACGGAGTATTATGTTTTCTTTTTACGTACGGAGTACGTATTATGTTAAGCAATACGGTAGGAAAAATTGATTGTAATAATCCCAACTATCGATTATTTCAGAATAATCTAATTTTAGGGACCTTCCACCAATAATGGTCCCATATAATAAATTCATGTAGTTTCTAAAGTGGATGAGGAGAGATATAGCAAGTAATCCCTATAAATAATCTCAACTTTTAATTTTTACACTTTATTTATATTTCAAATTCACTTTTTATAGGAGGTAATATGTGGTCATGGACCATTATTGGCGGACAATCCATATAGTTGGAATTATACAAAAATAATCAATAGTTGGGATAATTATCAGCGGACTGACAATATTTGAGATTATTATTTTTAATTTTTCCTGTCTTGGAAAGTATGCGTGTATTTACTACAAAGATACTTTATCAGAATTAAAATATTTTACCTACATAGAAATACGTTTTATTCACAGCATGGATAATACAATCCGGTGGATGATCCATCCAAATACCGTCAGACCCAGAACAGGCTTCTCTAGCAAGAATATGAGCAGCCTGATTCATTGAACGGTGCACATACTAGACACTTATATTGGTAAAAAAAATCAACCATCATGTGTCTAATATTTCTAAAAATAATATCATTATAGTGTATGTCATCTTCTCGAGCAAGCCCATGGACGATATGTTGGGCATCTGATTCCACAATCACCCTGTGCCATCCCTATTCCGAAGCCCACTGAACAGCCTCCTCAATCGCCAAAGCTTCCGTCGTTCCAGGTGTATAACGACCCCTCCTTCTCACGCTCTTTCCGACTATGAACTCTCCTTTATTATCTCGAGCAATCAAACCCAGTCCTCTTGCATCTCCTTCCTTTGAAACCGCAGCATCTACATTGATCTTCACAACGCCTAAATCGGGAGGTTGCCATGCTACATTATTGCTCACCGATGCCTTCTCATGCTGCATAGGAAGTTGAGCACCCTCCAGCCTTCCAACATAGACTCTCCACAGTTTATGACCCCTTTCCAATTAGGTGTTAAGTTCTTCCAAACCTTTTCATTCCGGGCTTTCCATAAACTCCAACACATCATGACAAAATGGCCGAAATCATCCCTCGACATGCTGCCTGCCACCACGGATGCCCAGTCTCCAAAGCTCTCGGCAGCAGCCTGCAAGAAACTCTCACCCCGACTGCGCCAAACTGTCCTTGCCAGCGTACAATCCCGGAGAATATGCAACGAGCTCTCTTCTTCTTGCCCACAAATGAGACATTTTGGCCACATCGGAACCTGTCTTTGAATTAATCGTTGCTTGCTAGGTAAGCAATCCACACAAGCTTGTCCAAAAAATATTTTAACTTTCGGTGGTATTTCCAGCTTCCACATACTTGCCTAGCCCACCTCCGGTTGAACACTTCGGTTAATACTTTTATAACAACTTCGGACAGAATACATTCCATTCGTATCATCTGCCCAAATTAATTCATCTTCCATCTGTCCCGAACGTAAAGGAATACTAGCAATGAGGTTTCAATCTTCCTTTTGAAAAAGATCATCCTGTAAATCAAAATTCCAGCCCGTTCCATCTTTAAGCATGAGAGATTTCACATTAATATTTTCCAGCCCCGCTATTTCATTCCTTGCTTGTCTGCATCCTTCTACATCATGGGGCCAATTATCATGCCACGCTCTTGCCGAATTCCCATTACCGATATGGTAACAAACCCCTTTTCTGACCGCCGGAATAGCCGCAATGATGCTACGCCAAATAAGTGACGAATTATGGCCACATCTAGCTTCCAAAATATCTCCATGAGGAAAATATTTAGCCTTTAAAAGCTTAGTCACCAGAGAGTTTGGGTTTTTTTAAGATACACCAAACCTGTTTGCGTAACATCGCAATACTAAACTCACGAAGTTTTCTAAAGCCCAAACCCCCTTGAGATTTCGGGCTACAAAGGTCACCCCAAGTTTTCCACCTAATGCCTTTTCCATTAAAAGCATGTCCTCTCCACCAGAATGCATTCATAATTTTCTCAATATCATTACATAAATCCCCAGGTAGTAAAAAAACATTAATAGCATATTGGGGCATAGCTCGGACAACCGTTTTAATTAACACCTCTCTTCCGGCTTTAGATAAGAATCTGTTATTCCAGCTCTGGATCCTCTGGACCACTTTTTCTTTGATATAACCAAAATTTTCTTTTTTATTTCTCCCAACCATAGAAGGAAGTCCCAAGTACTTACCCCCTCCCCTGTCTTCCTCAACTCCAAAAATACTACTCAAATAATCTATGTCATCCCACGCCACATTTGCACTAAAGCGCACACTAGATTTATCAAAATTAATTACCTGGCCCGAGACTAAGCCGTACTGAGCAAGGATCTCTTTTATAACAAAACAATCCCTCTCATTTGGCCCTGCAAAAAAAAAAAAAAACTGTCATCGGCGAATAGTAAATGAGATATTGCGGGGACCCCTCGAGCCACTGTGATTCCTTGAAGAACACCCTCATGCTCCTTCGCTAGTAGCATAGCACTAATACCTTCTGTCACCAAAATAAACAGATACGGTGACAGCGGATCCCCCTGCCTTAATCCTCGAGACGGTATAACCGGACCATAACATTCCCCATTTATCTAGACATGATACCTTATCGTCTCCACACACTGCATTATAATATTTACCCACCGAGGATTAAAGCCCAACTTCTCCATTACATGCTTCAGAAAGCCCCACTCGACCCTGTCGTATGCCTTACTCATATCGAGTTTAAGGGCCACATAGCCCTCCTTGCCCTGTGTCTTTTGCTTCAGAAATGTTGTATTTCAAAAGCAACAATAATATTATCAATGATAGATCTACCAGGGATAAAGGCGCTTTGATTTTCAGAAATAATACCATTTAATAGGCCTTTGAGCCAATTAGCTAGTATCTTGGCAAAAATCTTATACGCGACGTTACATAGCGCAATCGGCCTCCAATCCCCCACAGCAACCGGGTTTTCCTTCTTTGGTATCCATACAATAGTAGTGTCATTATATTCCTCCGGTACCCTCCCTGAACTAAATGATCTTATGCAAAAATCCACCACCGTTGGCCCTACTACATCCCAAAACGCCTGGAAAAATCTCGGGTTCAATCCATTTGGTCCTAGAGCCTTATCTGCATGCATACTAAAAGCTGCAGCCCTAACTTCTTTCTCCGTTATATCTCGTAGCAAAGCGGCATTCTGGATATCAGTGATCGTCCCACGAACATTATTGAACCCCAAAGGATTATGGTTCCGTCCTGCGGTGAAAAGCTCCTCGAAACAACTAATGACTATTTTGCTTAGCTCCCATTGATTAGTCACCCATCTGCTCGTCTCAGAAAATATTCCTCTCATTAAATTTTTCCGCCTCCTCTGTTTGACTGAATTCTGAAAGTATTTAGTATTTACGTCTCTCTGCTGTAACCAAATCTCAGCTCTTAATTTAGCCCGTTGTTTCCAAAAAGCATTCTGTTTCTCCAAAAGCTTCAAATAACATGCTTTTGCTCTAGCAAATTCGGCTAGTCCTGCTGCATCCACTCGGCCTCTGCATCGTTCCATCTGCCTTTTGCAACCCTCAATACGACGCTGAAAGCCCCGCCGAAGGTGTTTACCCCATTGACATAGCTCAGCTCCACAAAACTGCAACCTTTCGAGGAGGATCTGATCCT